GAGGCTCCCTTCGAACCCAACACGCTGACAAATCCACCCCCACCCAACTCCTTAAGAGCACATTTCCTACTGCTAGGCCTTTCCCTGCTTATTTTTGATCAGCTGCTGTCTAATTCACCTTAACAGCCCTCTTTTCCAGGGTTTTCCTCTACTGTGGGCCTCCTTCCTGGAGACACAATTTCTGGATCTTGCATCTTCCTCTTTTTCATTCTGAGGAAGTATATTGTTCAGCAACTCTCCAAGAAAGTATGCAAGGTTAGTGAATATATTCTAACACCGCACACATTGTATTATGGGTTTATTTTATTCTTCATACTTGAATAATAGTTTAACTGAACATAAAATTCTGAATTCCTTCCTCAGACCAAGCTTTTACAACTTCTTCACCTGCTGTGTTATGGAATTTTCAAAAGAGAGGGGGATGTCTTCTACCATCTGCAATGGGCTTTCTTGTTAAGACTCCTTGTTATTCAGTTATCCTTAACTAAGCCCATTTTCCTCTTCACCTACTACACCCCATCTCTACCTTTTTCATTTTTCTAGCTGCTCCTGCTCAAGCTTTATCTTTCAGCTTGTCTATAGTTTGAAAGTATCTCTTACACTTGAAATTCAGACCTCATTCTTGTTTTTTTCATGCTTATTTTTAAAGTGTCTTGTTCTCCAATAATGGATATAAATTCTTTGTAGGTTGCATCAGTTGGAGTTTAGTTTGGGAAGGGGGGAGGTCCTTTGGAAATCACATCTTTATGTTTCCTTTTATTTGTTTGTTTCATGCTCTAATCACTTTCTAAGAAGCTTCTCTGATTGCTGCAATAGAAAAAGAGAAGCATTCAGGCACAGTCCCAGTTACGCAGGAGACTGAGACAGGATTTCAAGGGCAGTCTGGGCCATGCAGGACATCTCACTCTCAAAAACCATATGCAAGGAAGTGAGATGGCTCAGTGGGTAAAGTGCTCTCTGTGGGTAACCCTGCAAGTTCCTCACCTGTCTCAGACTAATAACAGAAGGAAATTAAAAACAAATACCCGATAGGTTCCTCTGAAAAGTAAATAAGGTAGACACCTGGTAGAAAGGCCTGGTGTATATTGACATCTTCCACTTAGAAGCTGTACACAATTTAAATTGCCAATGGTGGATTGATGTGACGCTCTGTGAAAAGAGCCAGGCATTGGTGGTACAGGCTTTTAATCCCAGCACTCAGGAGGCAGAGACATGTCTGAGGCTGAGGCTGGGCCTGGTCTACACAGCCAGTTCCAGAATAGCCAGGGCTACACAGAGAAACCTTGTCTGGAAAAACCAAAAATCAAAACAAAACACTCACATAATCTCACAGTGCTGGACAGTTTGAATAAGGTGCTCGTGAAACTCTCTTCAAACCAAGTAACCACAGGATTACATGTACATTGTTGCTTATCCTCCCTATGCCTAGATTTAGGCACACAGGCACCTGTGCATGTCCAGGTGACTCATTTGTAGTTATAAGAAGCAGCTACCTCAACGGACGGTGGTGGCGCACGCCTTTAATTCCAGCACTCGGGAGGCAGAGGCAGGCGGATCTCTGTGAGTTCGAGGCCAGCCTGGTCTACAGAGCGAGTTCCAGGACAGCCTCCAAAACAATACACTAGAAGGCAGAGACAGGTAGATCTCTGAGTTTGAGGCCCACCTAGTCTATAGAGACAGACAGGACTACACAGAGAAATGTGGTCTCAAATCCCCACACACAAAAAGAAATAGCTACCTCATTTCTAGAATCTATAAAATACTATCAACAGTATGTACAGTTTGATATATTTACATTTTTTCTTCGACCCGAAACAAGAAAATTATGCAAAATGACACCATGCCATGACTTAACGGTTTAAAAATCTCAGATTGCCACAATTCTCCCAAATTTAAATGTCTCCCAAACTGCTCATATACCAATAAACTCTGGTTTGCCAATAATTTATTTCACAAATTTTTTAAATATAGAAACACATGATAAATGAAATTAAGACATTTCCTACAAAATCATTCTGCATATTTTCAAATGAATCTTTGAAAAGCTGAGAAAATCCTCCCCAAATCACTCTACCCATCTGAGCTGGTAAACCTGCGGTTTCACACACAAAAAGATGGACACTTCATTCATAGTATTAAAGGTCAAGTTTCTCCAATCCTACAATTATTAAATTAACTATTTCAGTGCAAAGGAAACGCTGCTAGGTGGTGGTGGCTTTAATTCCACTACTCTTGAGGCAGAGATAGGAGGAACTCTTTGAGTTTTAGGCCAGCCTGGTCTATAGAGCTAGTTCCAGGACACGTTCCAAAGCTACAGAGAAACCCTGTCTCAAAAAACAAACAAAAAAAAAACAACAAAAATTAACAATAAATTACAACAATAACAAAATCAAAGGAAAAGCCACTGTAAATGGCTCAAAAAGTATCCAGAAATAATTTTAAAAGGAAACCTATCCAAAAAAGGATTCTGAGTAAGAAGAAGCAGGCCCGTGAACAATTGGGCTATTTAGTACTCTCTGAGGTGGGCCCTGGCTCACAGGCAACTACTATTCCAAATCTAAGACAACTAAAACATCCTCAATGAAATGATTGCATAAAGACACACAATTCATTCACAAGTTAAACAATTAGTATGATCTTACTTTAAACTTTATTAGGAAGTAATTTCAACACTATCTCTAAAAGCTTATGTGTATTCTGATACAAGTCACATACCACAGAGTTAAACAAGTTATCTGAGGTATTTGAGTCTAAAAATACATATTTTTTTTCTCACTCTGAAATAGTCAGATTGGTATTTTAACAAAATGTCATCAAATGTTACATTAACTGTGCCAGAATAAAAAGATTAAACACAAACCTGTCAAATCTATCATGCAGAGAATTCTCCCAGCCCCTGAAGACTGTTAAGATTTTTTAACCCCCACACTACCACACAGCAAATTAAAAATAAACAGGCAGTGTAGACAATAAATTGAAGATAACAGATTTGATTCCTTAAGCCTTAAAAGTTTACACAGCACAATGAAGACAAGATAAACTGGGAAGACATTTGCTATTACCAAGCATCATTAAGGGTTTATGCATTTTTTCTTACAATTACTGCAACTACCTAGCTTCTTCTTTAGTCTGTGCTTCAAATAACAATATATACTCTACTTTGAAAAATATGCCTTTAATAAAACCAGAACTTGATACTTGTAAAACTAAGCAATTGTTAAAAAAAGATCTTTAAAAAGCCATGTTTGCATTCTTCAGTATATCAGTTTGGTTAGGCATTACCAGAACAATTTTCTTTCCCACTGTTACAAAATGGAATCCCAGAACGAAAGAGCAAAAGGGAGCTTAACTGCTTATAAAAGGAAAATCTGTTTTCCTACTACTGATTTAGTAATTTTAATACAGACTATCTTCAAGATTCCCATGTTTACTGAACTAGAACTTCATAAGCACAATGCAAACATGAAAAGGTGAAACTTCCTAGCGTGTCTGAAAGACAAAGCTGGGTGGGACACATTTGAAATCCCAGCACTTGGGCGTGGGAAGGAGGAGAACTACAAGAGATGACTTCACAAGAGGAAACGAAATACACTCAACCAAATTTACAGTGCTAGTGCAACGAGAGATGTACATTACAAATGGATTTTCATTTTCTACTTGAAAGAGAAATCCAACTGAGTCTGTTTGCTTTTGACACATGATTTCTCTGTTTAGTCCTGGTTGTCCTGGAACACTCTCTGTAGAGCAGGCTGACCTCAAGTTCCACCTGCCTCTGCCTTTTGAGTGTTGGGACTAAAGGTGCATGCCATCACCACCTGGTGACAAAGCTATTTCTAACCCACTACTTTCACTGTGGGTTATAGATCCCAAAACAGCAGAGTTAAATTTGCTAATAGTGAATATAAAGAACAAGGAAGACTTGGGGAAGAACTTAGAACCTGTTTCTTGTTTTGTTCTGAGACACTATCTCACAATGTACCTCTGGCTGTTATGGAACTCACTACATAGACAGACCAAGCTGACCTTGATCTCACAGAGCTGACTCTAGAACTCTCAATCTGAAATTTTTATAATTCTCAGTTTCTTAAAAAGTTTAAAGCAGAAGATATATTTGAGGTTAAAATAAAATCAATGTCTAAAACATAAAACTGGCTAGGGGCTGGGCATGGTGGACCTTTAATCCCAGCAGAGACAGCTGGGTTTCTGTGAGTTCAAGGCCAGTCTAGTCTAGATAGTAAGTTCCAGGGTGACCAGGGCTAAACAGTAAAACACCGGTTTAAAAAGCAAAACAGAACAAATAAATTCAACTGTGGGTGTAGTACAAGAATGGGAGGGGGGGAGATAAACATAATACCTTCTATTTAAAAGGAAACAGTCGTCTAATACCAGGATGGAAAACTAAAGCATACCTGTGTTTCAAAAACATCTTCATCCTTTCTTGGATTGGAAACCTACATTTGCCAGACCCACGGTCTCCTCCATCATCCGTTTCACTGAGCATCACAGTTGCACCTGCACTACAACCTCTGGCCAAAGGCAGAGCCCAATTAATTTTCCTGACACTTTCTAAAAGTGAAAACTAGCATAAAGTTCAGGAGATTCTGATGCAAGCTGCTAACAGCTCTCTCTCCTTTTAGATGAACAATTTTCTTGCTTTCAAAGCACTTTTAAAACAAAGGTAAAACTATGTGTCAACATAAAGCATTCTAGTAATTCTAAACAATAAAATGCTATACATTTTGCTTTGGAAAAACAGGTGAGGCAAGAACTATATGAACAAAAGACTTTTTCCAAAAAGAGGATCACAGACCAGAACATCCCTTCTCCCCTTCAAAGGGGATTTCTTGATAGGACCTAAAAAAGAATGTTTTCCAAAATGACCTGGTGACTCTGATGTTAGCTGATTCTATTTAAAAAGCAGATAGTATACTTAGCACTGAGCTGATTGAGTTCTTATCAAAGACTGAATAAGAACAGAAAACACTAAAGTCTCTCTCTCCCTCCCTCTCCCTCTCCCTCTCTCTCACACACACACACTTTTTTCACATTACAATGGACAGCTATCCATCTATTATTTATTTAAATTAAGTACATTTTGAAACCCAACACAATGTAAATATTCTCAATATTCACAGACACAGAAGCACAGGGAGAAGCACTATATAATGTAACTTCTATGCACATATACACAATGCTCACAGGTATGGAGTGAAAGCAGCTGTTTCTCACAAACTGTGTGACTTCACTGTATGGTTACTTCATGGTTCATTTCAAAACTCTAAAAGTAGTGCTCAGTGTTCACATTGTTCATCTCAAAGACATTCACTATCTAAATGGGTACTGAAACCTGCAGTGCAGTTATATTTTGGCACAGATAAAGAAATTTACCAATCTAGTTTAATATTCCCTGTTAAAAGATATCAATTGATACAGAGAAACCCTGTCTCGTAAAAACCAAAAAAAAAAAAAAAAAAAAAAGATATCAATTGCACATAAGTTCCACACTTCTTGGAAGAATCTACAAAAGGGAAAAGAAAATGGTAATTTCTTTAAGTGCTGACACTTTTCATACCTAGGTTCAGTCAGAGGCTTTATTCCTTTAGAATCTGAAACTGCAGTCACTTCCATGACACTTCAAAAAGAAACTGAATTGCATCAAGAGTAATTTTTTTCATGATCCTGATTCTTTTCATTTTAAATCTTCTTTAGGAAACAACTTCTGCAATCTGAGGAGGTATCTGGATAGTCTTCAAGTGCTCAGAGTAAAATTACCCTGCCCTAGATCTCCTTGTAAACGGGGAGCACAGGGATAGAAGGGTAAAGGAGAACCAAGCCACCCTTCCTCCCTATAGACAAAATGACTAAGTCTATGAGCCCCTCAGATATGGCATCCATTGAGGGATCATTTGCTCCTAACTGTGTAAGTGTCCTTGGCTGTAGTGTGACTTGCACAAGAAGTACACAAAGCCCCTGAGAGGCCCTTTAATCCTTGTTGGAAAACACTGTTGGATAGACTATAAATGATACAGTTGCAGAAACTGTTACTAATAGCAAGCCAGGTAGTCAGGAAGGATGCAAGGCGGCTGCTGAAGCCAGTGACACTTTCCAGCAGGAAGTAGATGATGTATGGCAACCAGAGGACATAAAACACACTCGTGATTCTGAATAGGACCATAGCATAGCGCTTATCTGGACAGGTCTGGGCTTCCCCAGTCTCCCCATTCTGGCTGCTGAATCGGGCTTGCCTTTTGCTGATTTCTTTTGTGTGCTGCTGGCAGATGCGGAAGATGTTGAAATAAGTGAAGCAGACAATGAGGGCAGCTGGGGCGTACAGCATCACCACGATGAACAATGTGAAGTAGGGGTTGGTGTGCCAGGATTCTGCACACCACTGAAATACATCTCCATGATATCCAGGTTTGCCCCAGTGGAAGAAGGAAGGCAGGAAGACCAGGGCGGAATACAGCCAAATCAGAAAAATACATAGGCGTAGTCTCCAGGGAGTAACCAGTGTATTATAGGTTAAAGGCTTAGTGATGACAATATATCTATCAATGCTGATACAGGCCAGAGAAGCCATGGAGACACTCTTCAGAACTGACACTACAAAGCCAAATACTTGGCAAGTCATGGCCTCCTCCACAGGAAGGGGGTAGTGGAGTAGTGACAAGGAAGGGACCAGGCAGCTTACCCCAACTAAGAGGTCAGCATATGCCATTGTCTGAATAAAATAACTTGTAGTGTGATGGTTCAACAGAGGTGCACAGTGAAACACAAAAATCACAATGATGTTGCCAGAAATAATCAATATGGTTAGAAAGACAATAATCAGTGCTTCCAAAAGACAAAAACTGACAGTTTCCAAGTAGCCCAGTGCCAGGAGACAGAAAGGATGGTTGCTCTGATCACTATCCAAGGTGGAGTTCATCTCGTGCTCAGGAACTGGCTCTCACTTCATGCTGCCACAGTTCCCAGGAGCAGCTATTGTCACTGCAGTCAACCTTGTGTGTGACAATGCCAGGGAACCCTGGTCACCAAGTTCTGGTACTGTTGCTGCTGCTGCTATGGTGCATTGCCTGCTGTGCAATTTCCCTTTAAATTCTTCCTGGAATAGGGAGAGCCAACAGCAGTTGTCTGGACAGTCCCAGACTCTGCCATACTGACATGTTCACCATGCACCAAGGGAATAAGGCAAACTGGGGACAGTGTCTTCTGGCCAAGTGAGGGTGGGGGAGGGGCAGAGGAAGGAAGATTAGGAGCTTCAGCAGGAGTTGTAATGAGTCTCCTCTGAACAGCTGATAGAAGAAAAGGAAAGAGCATTTTACATTTTGCATTCCATGTCCTAGTCAAAGACCCTAGCTAACTCAGACTGCCACCCTTCACCCCTTGACCCTCAGCAGCACCCTCCGTAAAGGGTGCTTACCCCAGAGGAGCAGCTATACTGACCGCGTCTCCAAGATCAACATAAAAGGAAAGCAATTACAGATCCCTCTACCCTCATGTTCTTTTATTTAACCTGTTACAGGAGAAAAAGCCTCCTTATGGCAATCCTGAAAACATTTGGCTACACTTATCATTGATAAAAATTAACCAAGATTCATTTCCTTCATTACATCCAATGTACTATTTTACTTCTGAAAACATTTTAGTAGAATTTAAATGCTTAGCTCAATTTCAGAGTATTACCTGTAATTCTGCATGCTGAAATCCAAACAAAAGCCACAAGAAATCCTTAACAGAAAGCCTTGCAATGCAGGACTGTGCTTCAGCCTTGTAGAGCAGCGCTAAGGCATAGAGGGAGGGGTAAAGGAGTAGGAGGGGAAGCAGGGAGAAAGGGCTTGGGGAAGGAAGGAAGGGGGGAGCGAAGAAAACCACATGTGCTCACACACACTCTAGCATATTGGGCAACTCATTAGAATTCATCACCAGAGAGAAGCTCCCGAGTTTTCAGACTGCACCGTGGGCACTGACTTGGGTTGCCAGCAGTGCAACATCTGAAAGCTGTCTCTGGTCTGTCTAGAATCCCCCTCTTAGGCAAATGAGTAGAATCCAGACTGCCAGTAAGAAAAATGGGCAGAAACTACCGGGGTGGGTGGGTGGTGAGGAACGGAAAGGAGGGGGATGGGAAAAAAGGGAGGAGTCAGGAGTTGGGTTGAAGGACACTACCAGAGGGTTGAGGGAGAAAGTCCTATTTTTGTGTACCATTTTCCCAAGAACAAAGAACCGGTATCAAAGAAAGGAAGTGTGTTAACAGTACATGGCAATGGAGGAATTCTAATTTAGCTGCATACGAAGTTATAGCTGGAAGACTTAAAAGTCAGCCTCAATTTTCTTTTATCAGTTGTTGGATATTGGCTAATATGAAGAAAGGATGCTGTGATGCTATTTTGCCTCTACCTTAGTCTAGTTAAGTACTCCACCCAAGTGACAGCATGCAGATATTCTTCAGGTACAAGTATTCAAATCTTTCAATGCAATCTAGCACAATGCAAATTGAAATCCTATGGCTTTTTTTTTTTTCAGATAACTAGGAATTGGGTGCCATGGGAATGGAATAATTCTGCCTGAATAAAGTCCCACATCCCCAAAAGAGTAAAAGAAAACAAACGATGGCCTCTGTAATAATCCCAGGAGATCTATACATCTGAACAGAGCATTATGTGATCCAATTTATATTACTTATTTCATACAAGCTTTCTTACTGTGGGCAAAAGGATGCCTACAATCACAATTGTGTGACGTGTAAACTGTTTAGCTGAGGAAAGCAAGGACCTAAAGCATGCTGCCGCGCAACACTAACAACTGTATACGACAGGCCTCACTAGACACTGTCACTCAGATATTATCTGAGGTACTGATTCCTGTTCCTACTTCTCAAGGTCCCTTTCCACACTAATCCACCAGCACATGGTATGCTAGGGGCTCTACCTCTCAGTGCCTCTTACACAGCAGAGCAGTCTCCTGAGCTGTAATTTTATAGCCAATTATCTAGGCTCAGCTGCAGTCTGAAAGCACTGAATGGAAAATCCTGCATTTTGCAATAGCCCACATTCACATAACTTATCACAACCTACTGTCATAGCTATTTTGTTGTTATCTATTATTTATAACCTCTTACTATGCTTACTTTGTAAGTTATACTTCATTGACAGTATGGAAAGGCTAAAACAGTTCCAAGTTCAGCACTATCTAATGCTTTAAGCAACCACTGGAGAGCTTGGAACATGTCCCCAGTAAATTAGGGAGACTCCCACAATTATTGTTTGCCATGTTTCACTACAACCAAAACAACATTCTATAACTAAAATGATAAATCAGTTAATAACAGTAACTGAGCATCTGCTTATACTTAATATGACTATGAATCGTGCTGAATACTTTCACGGATTAACACTCTTAACACTACCAAACTATCATTCCATTTTATACCTGGGGATAGTAAACTGCCCAACAACAACTGCCAGAAAACGTAGAAAATGGTGGTGTGAGGATTTGAAGCAGGGCAACCTGCCTCTTGTCAGACACATGAAATCTTACATACTGTTTTTTTTACTTTATTTCATTTCATTTTTTATTTGCTCTCAAACTTACAGAAATCAGCCTGCCCCTCTGCACCAGCATACCCAGCTACACTGCCTTTAAATGTATGGCTTCAGTTGGGATCAGAAACACAGTTAAACACTAGAGCACCTGCCTTCTATACAGTCAGCACTGGGAATACAAAGTACTATAAAATAAACATGAAATGAAACGATTCAGGTTTTTTTTCTGTTAACACAATGTCACTTTCTAAGATTTGGCCCTTGCTGGCTTCTGGCCTGGCCTTAGCCTCCTCACCTCTGCACAGTGGGTACTCCTCCCCAATACTGCAGCACTACACTGTGCCCAACTACCAACTTCCAGGGTAACCCAGAAGATAAGTCCTCTGGGTTCTGGTGGTGTGTGCCTTTAATCCCAGCACTCGGAGGCAGAGGCAGGTAGATCTCTGTGAGTTCAAGGGCAGCCTGGTTACAGAGTGAGTTCCAGGACAGCCAGGAAAATACATAGAGAAGCCCTGTCTCAAAAAACAAGACAGACAGATAGACAGACAGACAGACAAAAAAAGAAGACATGACTTTTAGAAGGGTTGAATGAGAAACCTTTTGTTTGTTTTTGGTTTTCTCTGTATATCTCTGATGGTTTTAGAACTTGTTCTGTAGACCAGTCTGGCCTCCAACTCAGAGAGATCTACCTGCTTTTGCCTCCTGAGTGCTGGGATCAAAGGTGTGTGCCATTACCGCCTGGCTGGATAGAAACATTTAATGTCATCTGAATTCAGTGGTTATATATTTTCTTCTAAAACTCTCATGAGACTTTATGGTTTCTCAGGACTAGTAAAAAGACACATTTCTTCTTTTAACTGAATAAATAACACAAGCCAAATACAACAAAATTCTGTTTTTAGGTAGAAAGAGCTTCCAAATAGAGCTGTAATGATAACTGTTGGTGTACCCACAATACAGGGTAGGCATTCCTAATCTTACAGTTCAGGACCTAGAGGCAAGCTCAGAAAGACTTCCATTAGTCTAAGGTTTCAGAGCACTTCAGATTTTCTTATCATAGTGGTTTAACTGATAGTCTATGCAAACCAAACCCAGGCAAAACAAAAAATCAACAGCACCACACAACCAAACAGAAAACCCCAACTCTGAAACAGTTCTGATCCCAAGCTTTTAGATAGGGATGTTCAATCCATACCCAATTAAATGATATAAAATACCTATGCGTTAAAAAAAGTCCCAAATAATAATTTTTAAATAGTCAAACCAATATATTCACATTATTGGAATTCAGGAAACCTTAGACCTCCCTAGGCAGATTTGATATGCAGAAACTCATAGGAATGGAAGTATTTCCACAAAGATATGCAGAGTCTTTATTATGCAGAAACTCAATGGAATGGAAGTATTTCCAAAGATATGCAGAGTCTTTATTTTTACAAGTAATTCAAAGAGACCAACTACAGCAACCGCTACATGGAAGCGGTAGTGTAGGGTAGTGTGTGTGTGTGTGTGTCACCTGTATTTCAATTGTGTACTTTTTAGTGTACAAAACAATGGGTTTCATAACATTTTAATACATGTGTAACATTATAATGATGTTCAAATTCCCTCCTACTCTTCTCTCTTGTAGCCCCTGTACCCAGTACCAATGGCCCGCTTCCTTTCCCAATAGTTTTAAAGGCAACTTACAACATAATATCTATTAAGAGAAATTAATTAGCTTTTATTTTTATGTATAAGTGTGTGTGTGTGTGTGTGTGTGTGTGTGTGTGTGTGTGTGTTTGGATAAGTTTATGTACACTACATGGGCATCTAGTACCCTGGAACTGGAGTTACAGATAGTTGTGAGTTACCATGTGGGTGCTAGGAACCAAACCCAGGTCCTCCACAAGAGCAAATAAGTACTCCTAACTGCTAAGTCATATCTCTTCAACTACCAAGATTTCTTATACAGCACGAGTATCCACATTGAAATGGTAAAATCATGGCCTGTATGTTTTGAGGTAAGACTCACACACACACTATAGCAATTTCTCAGAATCCAAAGAAAATAGGTCACAGAACCTTTATTGTATATAAAATTCATGGATGCTCAAATCTCTTATTGAAAATAATGCAGTAGAGAACTGGGTACTATGATAGAGTACTTGCTTACCATGCCCAAGATCCTGGGTTTAATATCCAGCACAGGGGAAGGAGGAAGTATTTATATACAGCATACACAATATTGTTGTAAACTGTGCAATGGTAGTGCACACCTTTAATCCTAGCATCAGAAGGCACGAGCAGGCAAATCTCTGAGATTTTTGAGGTCAGCCTTGTCTACATAGTGAGTTCCAGGACAGTCAGGGCTGTTATACAGAGAAGCTCTGTTGCAAAACAGAGACACCAAAACAACAAACAACAAAAGAAACAAAAACCAAAACAACAACAACAAAAAAACCCTAACATTCCTATATATATCAGCCCCTCATAAATTATTTGCAAAACAATACTTTGTAAATGCTATGGAAATACTTGCTATATGTAATTGTTAGGGAAACAGACAACGCTTCATTGCTGGGTGCTCAGAGCCACATTTCAGTCCTTGCCTATTACATTTCAGAGAGATTTTGTTGTTGTTTTGTTTTTTGAGACAGGGTTTCTCTGTATTGCTTTGAAACCTGTCCTGGAACTCACTCTGTAGACCAGGCTAGCCTTGAACTCACAGAGATCCGCCTGCCTCTCCCTTCTGAGTACTGGGAATATAGGTGTGTGCTACCAATGCCTGGCCAAAGAGATATTTTTATTTAAGAAGGAAACAATCTGCTCAGTGATGGCACTGTCACTGGAGCATTTTATTTCTAGACTTACTGTAAGATATGGCTGGGCCTCCACGGCTTCCACTGGACAAGTAATTAAGAGATAAAATACTGGTGATACAGAATGGCTGGTAGCTTAGGGTCTGGATATGAGCTTGTAATTGCAGCCAAGTCTCACAACTGAAACAAAGCTCAATCAAGAAAAGAACACACACACGTCTGAGAAGGAATGAGGGGATGGAAAAGAGGAGCATCTCTCGCTGTAAAATGCATTTACCGTACAACCGGTTTTGCTGTAAATTTTGAATACTAAATACTATGAGGAACTGAGATAAAATATAAAGTATTATAAAATATAGTCAAAGATAGAAGGGACTAAGGTAGGTTCTGGAAGCTACAAAATGGAAAGCACCTTCTTTTCCTTTCATGCTGAATTCCAGCTTTTGTGTTACCAGACGCAAACATCATGAGACAATAAGCAGTGAGACAGACCAAGGGAATCACTTCCTAGCTTCTGTTAAAACAAGTACGCTAGAGGTCAGGACCAAAGACCACAGGAATCTACAAGTGCTTGCTCTGGGTTAGTCCTAGAACTTGGGAGGCAGGAGCAGGTCAATCTCTGTGAGGTCAGCCTGGGCCACATGGCCAAGTTACAGGCTAGCCAAGGCTACATAGTAGGACCCTATCTCAAAAAAAAAAAAAAAAAAAATTCAAAACAAGAGTTCAAGTGCAAGCTCTGAACTCCATGCAGAAAAAGCCTTGGTAACGTTCAACTTTTTTTTTTTTGAGGCTTTATTACTTTTATGCAAGGTGGGAATTGAGATTGGGTTTATATAGTCCAGGCTGAACTTGAACTCCTTTTGCCTCTACATCCATAGTACTGGGATTACAGGAGTAAGCGAATGACACCAGGCTATTTTTTAAGTAGAAAGAACACACTCTAAAACAATCACAAAAGTGCAATAAATATATGATCAAGGACACTGTCTCTTGTTATTACCAAGTGTTATGCACTGTGTGCAAGTGTACATGATATACCTTTTTTGGAACATGATCAGTAGCTTGTGATTTTTTTTCCCATGTAACAAGACAACACAGGAAAACCAGCATCTAAGATTCTTAACTTTTATAAGGAAATAACTTTTTTGACTGCCATACTTTTGTTTTATAGGCATATGAACATGTACTAGTTACATGTAATGGCATTATTATATGCTGTATTTCATATACATATTCACCCTGTCATTACTTTCTTATACTCCCCTCCTACTCCTGTTGATGCTCTTCCTCTTTTCAACTACAACTTCACCTACATTTATATGTGTATTTTCTTCTTGAGAACAACTAGTTTAATTATGGTTACTTACACAACTGAAGGGCTATTCTCAGGAGTGTGGACCACTTACCAGTGGCTGTACTAGTGAACAAAGTGTGTCTCTTCCCCTGTGATCTTTAACTGCATGAATACTCAAGGGCAGGATCATGGGCACGTCCCAGGCAGATGTCCTCAGCCACTGGGAGTTCCAGAGTGTAATGGCCACACTGTCCCTGGAAGACAGCCCTCCATTGTATTCCGCCCAATTCCCCTTTCCGCCTCCAATCTTCTACAGGGTTTTCTGCATCTTGGAGGGGATGATACAAATGAATTCTTTTCTTGACTCTGTCTCAAAAGCTGTAATCCAATAAAATACACCTGAGAGTTCTCCTGGGAAAATTAACCATTCCATTATGACCCCTGCTGTTATTTGTCAAGCACATTCAATAAAGGACATTCAAATGTCCTTGTGTCTGGCTTCCTCAGCCCACAATTACGTTTATGTTAGACATTCATTTTCTTTTGAGATCTTATCCCTTTTCTGTATATTCTTTTCCTATAAAACTGTTTTGTGTTAACAGTTTTTAAAAAAATAATATACACTCCTAATAAGGTTTAAATATTTTCTTTACAAAGATTTTACCTTTTGTCATATCAAAAGTTCTCATGTTGGGCAGGTAAGATGGCTCAATGGTTAAAGGTGGCTAAGACTGAAACCCTGAGTTTGGTCCCTAGGTCCCACATGGTGAATATAGAGAATGGACTCTTACCAGTTTTCATCTGCCCTCAACCCACACAAGTACTAGGACACTAGCAGGCCCAAACACATACATACACATGCACACAAAATACATAAAATGTATGTGAAATTTTAAGAAACTTTAAGTGCTATGGGAGAATCTGTATATTTATAGACTAGAGTTCAAATTTACCTATCAGAGAAGCTTCCTAGCAGATAAATACTTCCAAAATTTTGAGAAAACCAAACCCAAACCCAGATATATGAATACAAAAGGCACAAATGCTGCCTAATCTTGTAGGAAATCACTTTATATCTTTGTATGCTGTACACAGAGGTTTTTTGCTCTTTAAATCTCTTTTCTTGCTCTGTTTGTGAAACCTTGAAGAATGCCTCAACTTGAGCAGGGAACACTGTGAAGATAAGGGCTTCACCTTAGAGGAAGGAACGTGAGCAGATTAAGGGTAAGACTACAGAAGTATTTTCTTGTTAAGTGTAGAAGCTGAAAGAAGGCCTTCTTTATAAAAGCATATTTATATAAAAAAATACAGATAGCTGGGTGTGGTAACCCATGCTTATAATGCCAGCACTTGGGAGCCTTAGGTAGGTGA